CTTAGGTTGTTAGAAGTCTGCGGAGGGAGATTCTAGGTTTTGCCACGTATCTCTAAAGCAAAGGTTTATGTTCATCTGTAGTGGTGTTTATGCTGCCTCTGTGATTAAGTCACAGTAAGTGGGTTGATAGTTGTGAATGGGAGGTTCTATACGCTACAAACTTGAAGTGTGTTGTTCTGCTGAGGCTGAAAAGAGGTTGAAAAAAGTACTGAACTCCTAGAAAGTTGGGGGCTTGAGGAAGGGTAACAGCGTGATGCACTAAGATCTGGGAGCAAGTGTTAAGCGGCTGCCAAAGAAAGACTGTAGGGCCCTGCGTTCGGGCGGGTGTCCCATCCTCCGAGGAGAAGAGCAGGTCAGCTTGGCTGAGCAGACCTTAATCTGACAAGGGGAAGGTGTCACAAATAAGTCTGGAGGTCATGTTTGAATTTAGCAACGCTGAAGTGAGCTTTTATAAAGCTCACAGTCAAATGCTAGTGAACGTGTTCCACAAGCTACAGAGTTTATTCCAATCTTAATAAGATGTCTAATAGGATATAAGATGAGGCATAGATGAGTTGCAGATGGTGAAACTGTGTTTAAAAAAACAAATCCAGATGTTCTGTGTCTGTTTCTTGACCTGTTTTAGGTTATGATTAAGATTCAGAGCTGTTTCCTTAATCTAATTGTTTATACTCATCCCTGAAATCCGCCTTGATTTTTGCGTGTTTTTGTTAGCGCTTGTCACAAATTCATTGTGCTAATTTACGTCAGTGTCAAATACTGTGAAAAATGGTGGAGGCAGCAAAGTATTAAGAAGTTTTGTGAGAGATGACTTCGTGGAAAATGGGACTATGGATGCTCATCATTTTTGGGCCAATGTCTCATTCATGTAATTAAATAAATCACTGAACATGATTGAGCTGAGGATGAGATAGAAGAGAACTCCTTCCTTAAAGTACTCCCTGTCCCTGGAGGTTGCGTGTTTTTATGTATGTTAAGTCCCAACTAGGCCAAGCTCGCTCTTGCTTTTCAATATGAAAACTTGAAATTTGAAGTGGCTTTTAAACATCACTTAGATGTCTCCAGATGCTTACATGCAAGAAGCGTGGCAGCTCTAGTCAAAGAGCATCTCTGTCATGCAGAACTCCTCTCTCCTGCTTCTGTTTTTTACTGACTCCTGGATGCCCTACTTCTTGGGTCATTTCAGTGAGCTTGCTGGATCTCCTTGACTTTCTTCTGAGACTACATTGCACCTGATTACTTTTCTAACTGCTTTCAGAATCAGAATAACTGAGCACTGTTCTCTGACCAAAGCTTTGTTATTTTAACACACTGTTCTGCCTGCCTCTTAAAGAAAAACCTTTGAAGTAGGGGATTGTAATTTCTCAAATTGGAAGACCTGCAGCTGTGCGGTATCCTACCAGTCTCTACTGTGAGTCCCAGGACTCTTCCTAGGTGTATATCCTTGAAGGAGTCAAACAGTGCTAAATTATGTGGTAGACCTTTTTGGTAAGCAAGTGGGTTTCTTTGGGAACGATGAACATAATTTTATGGCTCGTTGTTGGAAAATACTATCTTTACCTTGAACCCAATTGAATGAGGAGAAAAACTGAGGTGAGTGAAGGGGTTGGAGCACAGCACCTAGGGTCCAGGGCAGGCATACTCTATGGATAGGTGCTGACATTTGGCGTCACCTGTTACCAACCAGTGAAACGATTCTTTATATTTTTGTTTCCCTTTTTTGGTGCTAGGTTTGTGTAGAAGCTGTAGAAGCAGGCACACCATTCCTACCTGAACAGCTGCCATGCCAGCCTCAGGCAAAGGGTCGGGGAGCAAGGCTGTAGCTGCAGAGTTGGCCTCCTGGAAGGTGGAGGTGGAGCGTCTTCGCTTGCTGATGGCAATGCAGCAAGATGGGTGTCTTTGGAGCAGTGGGATTCTTTCAGCTGCTTTTTGACATCTGCATTGAAAGAGTTCTTTGTGTGGCACAGCATGGAAGTTAGTGTTGGAAGTCAAGAAATTTAAACAGAGGTTGGTTGTGGAGGATGTAAAACGAGTAGAGTAGTAGGTATACATAGGGAGCAGATCCTTCAAGGGTTAATTCAGGGCTCGGAGAGTAGTTTGTACTGTGGCCTGTAGGTGAGGAGTAACAGGGACTATTTAAAACCTTGCTTGAGAAGTAGGTTACAAATTGTTTTTTTATTCTCATAGCTAATTTTGCGTGCATGGTGGGAAGACTGTCTGTCTACAGGGCAGAGTTAATTACCTGGATAAACCAGAGGTTAAGAAAAAGCTGACTGTACTCAGAGAACCAGTTTCTGCATCGTTATAGCCCACTGGCTTGACAGCATGATGGATCAAAGGAATGCATGGGATTTGCATTCCCATGCAAATGGGAAAAGCTGAAAAAGCTGAATTTTTTTTTTTTTTTTGAGTTTCAGCTGTCCCTTCACTCGCTTGCTAACTGTCAGTCAAGTATTACAGGAGAAAATCTTACTGATACAGATATCCTCTAGCATGTTTTGTATGGTGTAGCTTGCTTGTGTAGATAAGCAATCAATTCTGAGTGGCTTTCGTGTCCTGGAGACCCTCTCCAAAGAGATTTTTTTACTGGTTTCCTGCCTGCAAGAGGACTTTTGACCCTCTCCAAAGAGATTTTTTTACAACTATTTAAGACTGGTTTCCTGCCTGCAAGAGGACTTTCCTTGTCAGTGTTGGTGTTGTAGCCTTAGCTGGCAGCAGCTTATTGTAGTGAACTGCAGTATCAGCCGAAACCACAACTTTGTGAACATGTGCCAGTGCTGATTATACTTTCAGGAAAGGCTTCAGAAGAAGCGCTAGCTTGGACTTTCTGCTCCAAGTGACCCATCGGCTGCCAGGCTCTTCTGGGGAAGCGAACTTCCTTGTCTTGAGACGCTCCTGGAGGATGCAGAAAGCCTTGGTTAGGATCCCCTGTCTGAAACAAGCAAGAGTCTCAAGTTATGTGGAAATGATTAATTTTAACATGTATTCCTACAGAAATGGGATATGTAGTCACTTGTTCTTATCTGTTCTGCCCGTGCCCTCAAACTTCTGTTCTACTTGATCCAAGTTTGGTTCAGTGGAAGACCTAAAGGTACTGCTTTGCTCTGTCTTGCCAAAGTATATTGGCAGATAAACGCTAAGGACCTTTCCTGTAAGGAGGGGATGACATGTTAGACTCCATTCTGTATGAAAAAGCTTTGTTAGTACTGCTGTTCACCAGGTATTTGTGTCTTTTATTAAATCAAATCCGCACAACTTAGAGGTGGTATTCTGTCTCGGTGTGAATGAGAAAGCTGAACTGTTTAACCCCGTTGTAGCGCACTGGGGTAGTGCACCTTACCGCTTTCAAAGCAGTTTTGGCAACTTGGTGGTGGTCGTTCCAGTGTTTTCTGTAACTTGCTGAAGTGGTTATCCCGGTATGAAGAAAACTGAATTTGTATTCATCGTGATTCATTCTGTTCTTTAGTGTGTACTCTCTGGGAGTCTATTCTAGAAAGTTGTGTTGTTTTGTTTTGTTTTTGTTTTGTTTTTTTTCTTCCCATCAGTACTGTGGAAAGGATTTGAGCTGATTAGCCCTTCCAAGCCCTCCCAAATCTATGCTGAACTGTAATTGTTGGTGAATTATTGGGTGTTGGGAAGGAATAAATTGTCTTTTATTTTGGTAGCATTTAAAAGTAACTTAAGGAGCCCCTGCCCTCATTCATTCTTCTTGGAATATGATGTGCTGAGGTTGCTCCGGAGCTGTGTATTGCTGGGGAGACATACGTGGATTCTTTTTTATTAACCTTATACCCTGTGTCTGTGTTTTCCAGGCAACTAGTAGAAAGGAATATGAATATCCTTTTGCTGAAAGCTTGCTCCATTTTGTTTTTCTCTTAAGGCAAGCTTTTATGAAGAAAATAATGCAGCTGTAAATAGTCATGTTCTCAGTCACAGAGGTACCAAAGTACTTTGCTTTTTTTTTTGGTACCAAAGTACCAAACTTCATCTGAAGGTTCACGGCTAATGGGCACTACCGGACTGTGTCAGCCCTATACTCTCTGATTGGTCCCAAGTAAGTTGTCAGGAATGCAAAGTAAAGATGACTTGGCTTAAGTTCCAGATATATCTTGTATTTCTTTTTAAATACTCAGTTTCTTCCAGCCGTTAATGTTGTTCCTTGTGACGTGTTAACATATCTTTAGGATTATAATTTCACTGATGTCAGTGTGTACGGTCTTAAACTGCCTTGCAAGTAAAACGTAGGAAAGCCCTGGCATTGTGTTTGGCTCATGGACTTAGCGTGCTCTTTATTTAACCAGTCTGTGGGCAGTTGGTTATTCAGCAGCTAGGCAGGGAGACGAAGCAATTTCCAGTAGTGAGTCTTGGTCTACAAACAGGGTCGCTGACAGTCTTTGTATTTGAGCAGCGGGGAGAAGGGGCCCTTTGCTCTGCCCAGAGTTGTATTTCCACCTTGAGGATGAACAAATCCTGCAGCGCTAGTACCTGCAGGAGTCAGGTGGATGAGAAATAACTCGCCTGTGACCTGTGGGAGACAAAAAGTAAATAGTTGTTCTTTCTGAATCCTGCTATGCTGACAGTAAAACACGTTTCCGTTAATATCGTATTTCTATTGGGGCGAGGGGTTGGAATTTAAAGGTAGGAGAGGCTATAGTATGCCCTTCCCAATTTGAATCTTGCCTACCTCCTTTTTAGGAGAAGGTATGATAATTCAATTAGTGATGCATCCTGATGGCTTTGAACTGGGGGGAAAAAATCACTGTGACTGTTAGTTTTTTTTTATTTTGGGGGAGGGGGGAAACCTTGATCAAAGAAACAGGGAGCAGCATAAAATATTCCTTGGAGATCTCTAATTTTTTTGCTTTGCAGTCCTGTGCAATGAGCTGTAGCAAGCCTTTCATTCATGGAGAGCCTTGCCTGGCTCTCTTTAGGGTTTTATCATCCCTATCAGTCAGATCTGTTAATCTTCTAAACCAGGGTTTTCTTCTTGCTTTTTGCAGGGCCTATGCAGAAGACTCATCGTCCGTAAAGCACAATCCAAGGGCAGAACCAAGTGAGAAGGTGAAGCACCAGGAGGAGGAGGAGGAGGAGAGCAGCAGTGATGAAAGCAGGAAAGCTGTAGCCTCAGGCAGTGAGGAGGCTCAGCCAGAAGGGAAGAAGAAAAAGCGTTCTGGATTCAGGGACCGTAAGGTATGGAACCCTATCATGTTACACTGCAGCGATTGCACTGCAGTGAAAAAGGGAGGAAAATTTGCAGAACGATTAATCCAAGCGTGTGTTCCAAATGTGGCTTTTGGTCTGTACTTCTCTTATTTTCTAAAGGGACCTAGCTATTTTAGAAACCTACTTTCTTGGCTTGCTACCTGGAGTTTCTTTAGGTAGAAACCTGCTTTTTGGAAAGCGCAGTGCACAGATCCTCTGAAATGGAGACCCCTTATGGCACCTCCAGTTGGAAGTATGAGAAATGGATATCTGGGAAATCAAGGCTCCTACCTTGAGGTCTGTTAGAACAGTGAATGCAAACTAGGGAATAAATGCGATAGTTCTAAAACCATCTTGAGTATCTAGCCTATGTTTGTGTGCAAGTCCATCTATTCGTATGTGTCTACAAACGGGCAGCATGCGCAGAAAGAAGTAGAGGACAAGTATAGAAGGGAGAGTGGTAGGAAAGGAGTAACTATGACTTTTTCCTTTATAATTATTCTATGTACATGTAGTTGTTGGAATACAATGTTTTTCCCTTCTCATCTTAGTTGGTGATGTTTCTCTCTCGAAGCCTATGCCTATTTAATTTTCATATCAGATAAGTTTTCAAGAGGAAGAAAGCTTGAATAATGATTTTTTGTTGTCAACTTGTCACCTACCTTCATTGCCAGATAGTCTTGAGAGCTTTGGGATCTTCAGAATTATCTGACGACTAGTCTGGTACTATCTGTAACTGTTGTTATTACAAGATGTACGATTCGGTCTGATGAAGAGACCTGTAATTGAGAGTTGGCAGACAGCACTTTTTTTTTTTTCTTTTTTTAACCTGTCTGGATGTTGGTTTTATTGGGCTGTTTGGTTTAGTATCTTTGCAGTGCCGAAGAGGAGAATAGGAGTATGTGTTCTTCACGATTTCTTTTCTATATGATTTGCTTCTGATAATTATTTTAAGTTCATATCTCAGAGGCTGCATCTCATTAGTTGTTAAATTGTGAATGGTCGTATATAGTGGCTTAACAGCTTTTCATAAAACCTAAAGAGCTGTTTTGTTTCAAGATGCTGAATCATGTTCTGGTCTTGGTTAGACTAGATGATGCAGCTTGCTTAAATTCCTACTGTCTTATGGTATTTGGAGCTATAGCCTTTGCCTGCTGTGACAATCTGGTGACAATTCAGTGAAGCTGTATTGAAAGATCCTAGGTTGAGATGTTCAGAATTGTTCAGGGAATCTGCATTCTCCATTTCTGTTTTCTTGGCAATTGGGTGTTAGGTACTCTGACAGCATCAGCGAAATTTCAACTGTTGCCAGTACCACTCAAGAAAAGCAGACTATTTTTTTTCAGTGTCAGCAGATGGAAGCAGGTTGCAAAGAGCAAAGTTATGATGGACCTTCATGCATATTTTCTTTTTTTTTTTTTTAAACAAAAGAACATATGTTCATCTAGTTAGTATTAAGACTGGTTTTTTGGGGTTCTTTTGTTTTTTGTCTTACGTGGCTGGTTGATTCTGGCTACAGAAGCCAGGGAACATTTGTTTGCAAGTGAGGACTTCTGTTTTGGGTGCTAGGAGACGGGCCTAAACAGACCAGCGCCTTTCTTCCTGTACTAGGCAGGGAGGAGTGTGCTGAACCTGATATTGGTGTTGCTTTTCCTTCCTTTAGTTCAGGCTGTGACCAGTGGTGTCTCAAGTGCTGGGCTCAGTGTTTGTTGTGTTTGAGCAGATCGGTTGTGGGCTTGGTGTTTAATCAGTGACGGCCCTGGTGAGTAACCTGAGGAGATGGATGTGAATGCTGCCTGCTCTGATGACAGAGGAAGGTGTGCCCCATCTGTGCTCCTGACTCAGAAGTCAGGTGTACTCACAGGATACGCTGCTCCCACAATCAGTCGTATGTAGTGGCTAAGGAATTCCTGAGACTTCTAGATATTAAACAAACCCCAAAAAACCCTTTCCAACTTTCCCTATAGTTAATTGAAAAATATATTGGGTTTTCCTTGAGAAAACTGCTTTCAATTAAGCTTAATTCTGCCACTTGTTTGTTATCTCAATGTTGGTTTTAATGAAGCTGATGATGAGTGGTGGAATAATAAATTAAGCATGCTGGTGTTATTTTGGGTAGTGACTCAGCGAAGAGGAAATGGAATATAAATCATTCAGGATCTGGGGGAGCTGGTGCTCGCATCATGGGTGGATGGTTTGAGGGCAGTGCTCTGTTGTCATGTATATGATGTATAGGTCCTGCCTGCATAGGGCAGAAGAGGAAAAGGTTTGAGTACTTTTTGAGTTTGAAGGTTAATGATCACATGCTGCGAGTTGGCTGACATGTCGATTAATTTTCTAAAAGAATTTGGACTGCCTTAACGAGATCTATTTGCAATGGTCGTTAGGTCCTGGCAGGTATGCTGTGTTATGAGTGTTAATTGTGCTGAGACTTCATTTCGGTGTGCATTACGGTAGGAAACCTAATGAAAATGAGTACTAATTTATCTACCCTGTTAGTATGCCCAGGGTGTGCAGTGAAGCCGGACTGCTCGAGGTCCTGTTCTGTCTCACTGTCAGGGAGGCTCTGGCAATGCTCTGGGAGTGGATTGTGATGTTAGTTTAGAGCTGTATTTTCATATATACACTTTTTTTCCTTCCTTCTTCTTTCTTTTAACTTGAGGTTTAACATGGACATGACTATCTCAACTGTAGCTTCAATCCTGTGGAGCAGTAGGGTTTACTTGCTGGTCTTTCTTCTGCAATGTATGCTTGCATTAATACACTTCAAAAGTAGCTTTTACCTTTTGATTGTAAAACATCTTTCTGGAAGGCCCAGATTACGCTAAGCTGCGGCTTTCTGCAGCTGGGTGAAAATTGGTGACTGGCCTCCGTTGCACAGAGGACTGGTGATTACTGGGGGAACGCAGCCCTGGGAGTGCACGCTTTCCCAGGGCGATGTTCTGGAGCATTTCCTAGGTAAGAGGGCAGCGTGTCATGGGAGGGGAGTCTGGTTTTTAGGCTGACTTCTTTTTCTAAACAATCGCAGAGTATAGTGGAAAAACCTTACAAACACCCCCTTGCGTGTATGTACACACACACACACACTCACTCACTCACTCACTCACTCTTTCTCTCTCCCCCTGCACTGATAGAAGTGGAGCAAGTGACCTTTGATGTCTATGTTGGAAAGGACCTACCCCGGGGGGTGAGATCAGGGCACCCATATTATTGCTGATTTCCTGTTTTAGCAGCAAGTCTGGAATAAATAAATGGTTTGTAGATCCTCACCCATTCCTTCCTTGATTTGACTTTGTGTTCAATTCAGTCTTGAAATTAGAGGGATGGCCTGCAGCATATTTGTGTGTCAGTTGATGAGATCATGTTAGCAAAATTGAGGTAATTGTGAGTTGAGCTGTGGGCAAAAGAAAAAAATATGGCTGCATTTGCTCATTGCTTTATTGGAGAGTTTGAGGAAGTGTGATCTAATTTGTAGTGAGGACAGCCTACTAGATACTAAAACTTGTTAAGATTCTACCATTTGCTCCATGTTTTGAGTTATTCAGGACAGTTGTTTCTCAGGCATGTATTTGTTCTTTGGTGTGTATAACTGCTAATTGCTGGAACTTGAAAGAATGCAAATAATAAAAATGAACGGTTGCCTCCCATGAAGCTTTGAGCAGATGCATTACTGCTTTATCATGTTCACTTCAGAATCTGAAACTCAAATCGCGTAACAGGCGACACCCATTCCTTGTATCTGAAGGAGTTCAGAGAGACTGTTTTAAACTTAGGGAGTTGCTTGGCTAGTTTAGTTCTAGTTTTGCTAAACATGGCAAACTTTATGTCAAATTTTCTACTTTGCCTGATACTGTTCTGTGGCCTGTTGCCAGATGAAATTGTCAGCTCTCTACCTGCTGCCTTCTTAAATCCTCTTTTTGCAAAGGTGTTTAACTGCTTTTGTTGGAGGAAGGGAAACCTGAAACTGCTCTTACATTTCTTATAAAACCACGGACTGTGTGGGGTCTCTGATGCTCACTGTGCTGCCAGCAGAGGCAGGAGACGCGGTTTTAGCCTGTGACTTTGTTAGGCTTCTGTGGGCTGTGTTACATTGTTTTTGGAGCCAAACTGCCCCTCTCCGTTCTAGAGCTACGTATTTATAGTTGTATCTTCATGGGTGCCTGGCATAGATCCAAGGAAGCTTTTCATTTCATGATGTGCTTGGGCAGAAGGTGAGAGGTGGCAGTCGACCTAGGGAAGGCCCATGCGGTAAGTGGACACTTTGCTTCTGTTGCTGGAAATGATTGTGGTAGGCTTGAGGGTGCCAAGGGGGTCTGAAGAAGGGCTGTTGGAAACCTGCTGTGGCCAAAGTCGAGGCAAAAGGTAGAGTGCTTAACATCGAGCAGGGGTCTGGGTTACATCAAGCTCAAGGTAAGAAAGAAATGGCAGTGAAGTTAGCACTCCAGGAAGGAGGAATCTCGGTGAAGTTGTCCAGGTGTTGTACTGCTAGTTGGAGAGGACCAACTGCAGTGCTCGTATTCCAGAAATGAGAAGAGGAAAAGTGCTAGACAGCAACAGGCCCGTCAGTAGCTTTTTAGCGAGGTCTTAAATCGGAGCTGGAGAGAAGATCAATCGCAGATGTCAAGGTGAACAGGGTAGCACGCGATATGGTTTTACTGGAAGAAAAGTCAAGCTAATATCTCTGGTGCAACAGCTGTGTGGTCGAGTAAAAGTGGTGCAACTTGCCTATGATCTACCTGGGCTGAAGCAAAGGGTTTGATAGTGCCCTGCAAGAAATTGTTCCTCAAGCCTGGAAAATCAAGATTAATATAAAAAGTCTCTGGCAGAGGAGCATTTCAGCTAGAAAGGAACACTAAAGCAGGCTATGTTGAAAGAGATGTTAAGGATGGAGAGGGTTACTAGTTGTGCCCTGGAGTGTCTGCTCTTGGTTCCAGGCCTGGCTTTGGTACTCTGGTTGTACACAGCTCTTGCTCCAAGCAAAGAGCATTTAAGTATGCTTTTGGCTGACTAAGTTAGGTGTTGCTTTGCCACTACTGAGGAGATATAGGAAAGAGTCAGATGTGGGCCTACAATTACAAGTCCAAAGATGGCTTTGACATAACAAGTTACCACCGGTCCGGTGGATGCTTTAAACGAAGTCAGGAGCAACTTTGCAGTTGGGAAGAGCTAGGAAGGGATATGTTGTCACTCACTGTCCATTAGCTAAGCTGCAGCAACTTGTAATTCTGCAATAAAACACCTGCTCTTGATCCAGCGCCCATATCTTTAGAGGACCTTGTGGACTGAAGCAATAGAAACGGGGTGAAGTTTGGCTCTAAGTGCAAAGGCTAGTGACAAAAGGGACTAGTAGCAAAAATTTTCATGTATGAATCGGCAGGTGGCTGAAGCAGAGAGGCAGCTGAACGTATTGGTTGCTGCAAGGATCTCTCTGTGTTCCTGACATGCTTAGGTGTGAAAAAGCTATGGTGATGCGAAGATGTATCGGGGAAAAATAATTCCAGTAATGACAACGTCATACCAGTACCATTGCTAGCACCGGAGTGGGATCTCCTGCTGAGTGTTACTTATCAGCTAGCCGCAGGCAGCTGGAAAGCTGAACTGGAACAAGGGAGAGGCTTGGTTTTCCCTAGTTATTTTACTGACCCATCTTCCAGGCAAGAGCAAGTCTTTGGCTTACTTTATCCTAGGAAAGTGAAGACAGAGAGGTTGTTTTCATTTTGATAAATATCAGGGTGGAGAAGTTTTTCACGTTTAAGGACAAGGCTGAAATGGGACCAAAGACATAAATGATCTACAGATGCCTTGGCAGTATCCTTGATCTTGCCTGCTCCTCTCCTAGCAGAACATTTCTTTTTTTTTTTTTTTTTTTTTTAATGTGGCTCTTAGCCAGTAGTACTGAAGGTCTTGAGTACATTATGGATTATTAAACATTGTGTTTGATAACGTAGAAATAAAAATTAATGAGGAAAGATTTCTGCTCTAAAAAAGAGTAGGTCTGATTTTGCACTTTTTACCCTGTTTGTGGCCTTATATTGTGAGAGGAACCTCCTGAAGTTCAACAAAGGCAAGTGCAAGGTCCTGCACCTAGGCAGGAATAATCCCATGCACCAGGACAGGCTGGGGGTTGACCTGTTGGAAAGTAGCTCTGCCGAGAAGGACCTGGGAGTGCTGGTGGACAACAAGTTAAACATGAGCCAGCAGTGTGCCCTTGTGGCCAAGAAGGCCAATGGTCTCCTGGGGTGCATTAGGCAGAGTGTTGCCAGCAGGTGGAGGGAGGTGATCCTGCCCCTCTACTCAGCCCTGGTGAAGCCTCACCTGGAGGACTGTGTCCAGTTCTGGGCTCCCCAGGACAAGAGAGACATGGCACTCCTGGAGAGAGTCCAGCGGAGGGCTACCAAGATGATTAGAGGGCTGGAGCATCTCTCCTATGAAGAAAGACTGCAAGAGCTGGGCCTGTTCAGCCTGGAGAAGAGAAGATTGAGAGGGGATCTGATCAACGTGTACAAGTATCTGAAGGGGGAGTGTCAAGAGGATGAGGCCAGCCTTTTCTCCGTGGTGCCCAGCAACAGGACAAGAGGCAACGGGCAGAAACTGAACCCCAGGAAGTTCCATCTGAACCTGAGAAAGAACTTCTTCCCTGTGAGGGTGACAGAGCACTGGAACAGGTTGCCCAGAGAGGCTGTGGAGTCTCCTTCCCTGGAGATATTCAAAAGCCGTCTGGATGTGATCCTGGGCAACATGCTCTAGGTGACCCTGCTTGAACAGGGAGGTTGGACGAGATGATCTCCAGAGGTCCCTTCCAACCTAAACGATTCTGTGATTCTGTGATTTTTGTTTTTTAAAGCTTTCTCCTCTTTAATGAACTCCAGCTGTCTGTTTTGGGAAAAATAGTTCTAGGTACAAAATAATCTCTGCTGGCAGAGTTAGCAAATGGCAAATTGGTATGGAGAAGAGGACTGAGTGTGGAACATGAGCAGAATTTTGCATAAATGTGATAAAAAAAAGAGGAAAAAGTGAGGCTGGAGGACTGAGCAACCAGCTGTGGCTCAAAGTAATTTTTTCCAAGCTTCAACCCAAAAGAGAATTTCCTTCTCAGCTCTCCAAGATGGTTTGCTTTCTCTTCATTCGTTCATTAATCATGGCCCTGACCCTTGAAAATAGAATTTGGTTTAAAAATGTTGAAATACTTAAGATTCAGATTCAATGATACTACTTTTTTCATATTTAGGATTCATGTCTAGAAGTGTCTTCAGGGGTTTTGTTCTCCCCCCTCCCCCGCCATCATGAAGAGTATAAACTTATCGATAATAAGGAATCTTAGTGTTTTGCTCTTAATCCCATGACATCAGGAGCTGATACTTCCAATTTTACAGCATAAATGGGAGTTCTGATGCCTTCAGCATTGCTTCCTGTGAGTGTTGTGTTGCTGTTGCACGTACAACTTGGTTGTAATATGGCAAAACCTTCCCTGGACTAGCTATGGCTGCCGAGTTAGATATGGAGGGAGAAACTCTATACATCTAATGCTGATTACATTTTATTTCTAGGTGATGGAATATGAGAACAGGATCAGAGCCTATTCCACGCCAGACAAAATCTTCAGATACTTTGCAACTTTGAAAGTAATCAACGAGCACGGTGAATCGGAGGTTTTTATGACACCGCAGGATTTTGTGAGATCGATAACACCTAATGAGAAACAACCGGAAAGTAAGTGGGGGGTGTGTGTGTGTGTGGTAATTGGAGAACCTGATGTAGCAAAGAGGAAGAAAAAAACTACAGTCTCTGCTTACTTGGTCTTTACACTTCCCATCAAAGAATTACATTGTCAGGTATCATCTGTCTTGTTATATTGGCAAATACAGCGCTGAGCACAAAACGGGGGCTTGCTAGCTGATTAGCGCCTGGGGTACTCTAGTGATGAAAATGAGTGTTGTTCTCACCCCATATTTCAAAGCAGCGTGACAATATGCAAAAGGATAACGGAGTGCCACAAGGCAGAGGGCTACCAATGCGTCTGAGCAAGAGCCACGCTCGCCCTTCCGAGAGGAGCCTGCAGCGTGTCCATGCTGGTTTGTAACCAGTTGACTCACAGCAGTGCAATGCTGCCAAATAGTGGCAGTAACTCATACCCCCACGTGTTGGTCGTGGTACAGTCAGCACTACCTTCTTGGGAATTTTGAATCCAGGATTGTTAGGGCTAGAAAGCACCCCCAGAAGCTGTCTAGTTTATCTCCGTACCCCCAAACCAAGATTAACAATATGCCCGAACAACCCTCCCATGCTGCAGTGAAGTGCTGTTCCATCATACTAGACTTCCTTGGTTATGAGCCCTTGAAAAGCAGGCAAGATGATTTTCTTGCATATTTACTACTGATTACTTTAACTTGAAACATTTTAATAACTGCCATAAACCTGCGAAAGGAGGATGCTTTGGCAAGGAAGACCTTTGAAATAAAGGGCTGTTGGAAGCCCGATCTGCGTGACTGGTCTGAGCTGCGATGCAGCTGGCCAGGCCAGGACTCGCCTGTCCGGTTGCTGCAATTCCCCTAAGGTTTGAGATGAAACATGGCAACTGTGGCTCCTCTGCGGGGAGGCAAGCAGCAGACCAGAGAGCAGTCACAGACTTCTCTGGTCTGGAAAGCTGCGTCCTGAGCATTTGGGAAGAGGTTGGCGGGAGGATTTTGTGTGTTCTTCTCGTTTGGAGGAGAGAGGAGATTGTTATTTGGGATGAGAGATTGGGATATCAAATTTTGTAGTCTCTCACATTGTATCTCAAAGCACAAAACAGATTTCTGTCAGATTAAAATTCCTCTTCTCTCTTCAAGCATTAATGAAGAACCTCAGCCCCCGAGCGTTACCTTTTTTGAGAGTGGGGTTTATGTATAAACTGTGAAACTTTTGATATTCTATTTGACAGCTGCTAAGTAAATGCCATGTATACTTGTACTCAGAAAACAACATGAAGTGTATACAGGGGGGGAGAAAAAATAATCCTGTTAGTGCTAAAACATGCTTGTGAATCAGAACGAAGATTATTTTTTATCAAGTCCTGAAAATATAGCTATGGTTTTTCATATGAATTACGTGTTCTCATCTTAAGTGCTGGTATATTTTGAGCAACAAACAAGATAATTATTTATAGGTGCTGCAATTGTACGTTAATTTTTTTATCTTCAATATCGAAAGCATCTTGAATTAGTACTTGGAGAAGCAGAGCACCTGGTCAAATTTAGGTCTTCCTATGCAAGTTATTTTTAAGGAGGCTGACAAAAAATAAAAACTGTCCTATCCTTAGTTGTAAGACGTCTGACTGTCTCTTCCGCTTCTGTGCGATATGTGTGCTTGGTACATAGATAATATGTGGAGGAGCGTTCAGAAAACGTGTACTTTGGAGATAAGTGAAGATGAATAATGGGTAATAGTGTGTCAGTCTTATAAGCCACTAACTTGCCATTGTAACCATTATTGTTCTGGCTAGGTGAGCAGCTTAAACAGCCCTGTGAAGCCTGCGTGGCCAGACCTTTAAATGCTTGCCAAGGCTGCTAATAAGTGGCACGAGGCAGCTTAAGGGTGAAGAAAATAACAGGCACTCTCAGAAAGTGGCACCACATGGAAATTTGGCCTTGGCTTCCCATCAGCAAGCAAAACAGCTCATGTAGGCACCCTTGTGTCTCGTCAAGATAAACTCGCAAACCAACAAACGTTACTGGCGTGGATTTGATTAAAATCAAAAACTTGGTAGGTTGTCCATTTCTTAGGAGTGCTTTAGACCATGACAGTCGTGGTAAATGGTTTTTAATACATCATGAAGATTAGAAAACACTTAATACTATAGTAGAGCCATACCAGCCATAACCTTGTTCCCAAACTTTTTAAAAGCTGGTAGTAAATTCACCCCCGTTTTCTTTATTAAAACCAGCGGTTACAGAATGACTAAGTTTGCTATCTGCTGGCTGGCTTATTTTTATATTTCACATTCATTTTGTCGTTTTTACTCATCGATGATGATCTAGATCTGGACCTGTGTCCGGTCTGCTCTGCAGACATACGTGGACAGTTAGCACCTGTGGCCCCTGCCTGCTCTCTGAGCTTCAGTAATTCGCACTCGGCAGGGAAATGCCGGGGCTCCTTTTCTGCGCCGTCACAACTCAGGTATGCAGCGGCGGAGGGTACGCCCTCCGCCAGGGCTGCCACGTGCCTGGCCCCTGCGTCAGCCTCAGCCCAAACCTGCCTCGGAAACCACCTCAAGGCAGTGGCGTATCCATGCTGTAATCATGCAAGCTAGATCAGGTAATGCTGAACTTAAGTTAAGATGGCTTTCTTTCTGCGGTGGCCCTGGCCTCAAAGATTTTTATGGGTAGTAGTTGGTGGTAAGTCTGTGCTCCAGAGGAGTTCTGGTGGACAGCCTGTGAATTAGTCATCTTGCCGAACACCACTCCACGTGGTGTTTTGCCTAAATTGCAAGGATCATAGGGGCATCGTCACAGGGTGTGCCTAGATTAGTACTCTGGCTGGGCGGTAATAAGCTTTTTGTGCAAATCCCCCAGTTGTCTCCGTTGGCTTCCTGTTCCTGCAGGTTCCCTAAATGGTTTTGCTGTGCGTAAACTCTTCTTTGCCAATACAACAAAACGAGGAGCCCTTCCTCAAATATCCTCTGAGGGGGACACATCCAAAGGCAGCTTTGCTGGGCACTTACTGTGCCTGTGCCACCGGGAGCTGTTGCTGTATGACATCTGGCTCTCTTGGCCTAAAGCTGACTAGTTTGCAGAAAAAGGGGCTCTGAAACGCTGTCAGGACCACTAGATACAGTGCGTGGTTTGTGTGCGTGACTGACCCCTCGCTGAATGTCCGACCTCCGAAAGCCAGAGGCCATCCATATTTGTCCCAGTAGACCCTGAACATCGATTCACTCATTACCTGATTTGCGCAATTTTAAAACGCTCCTGTGAGCACTCCAAGATCTGAGGAGGGCATGGGAGCCTGCAGGTGCTCAAGTCGCCATGTGGCGATTTCAGTAACTTCCCACTAACATTTGTACTGTTTTAAGGAGAGCAAAATACTATGGAATATAAAGTGATAGGGAGTAACAAGGTGTCCAAGCCTCTTATTTGTTAAAATTGCTAGTCTACTGTGAGGTATTTTATGCCTGATTAATTTGTAAAGATTATTACAGGGGAAGGAAGGCTTGATTTATTGTCAGTAAAATCCCAATTTATTTTTAGACTTTTGTTTTGCTAGTTTGAGGAGAATGAGTGCCAATTTGTTAGCTTTTGTAGGTTACTTTCTCTTAATACTTCAGTAAAACCTTCTGCCATAGCCCCGACTTCCGCTTGGGTTACAAACAAGCAGACAAGAAGTGCTTAACCTGACGCACGCTTGCTGAACTTGGACGTATCTGTTAGAATGAGCCAAAAGAGAACACAGTTAAACTTGGTAGCTTCTTTTATTTAAAAAAAGAAGTGTTTCTGTATGTACTATCTGGAAAGTCCAGGTGCCATCAGAAGCGTGGGCAGTGCTATCTGCTCCCTGCAGTCTTGTGTCATTTCTCCTCCCACCGCCTCTTGTACGAGGCTCCGTGAGCAGGGATGGTGTGTTCATCCCTAGAGTTTGTTTGCGCCAACCTGGTCCCAAGAACTACAGAAAATGCTAGGTTCTCGAGTAGTCTGAGGCAGAGGCTGAGGGTTTGAAAAGCCCCATTTCAGATTCTGTGGTTTTTTGAAGGCATCATGGACTTTTGCTGAAAAGTTGAGGTTGTGACATGTCACAGGAGCTGTAACTGGTTCCTATTTTTTTTTTTTCTTTTCCTCCCACAAGGCCATTGCTGGCATGTTTTCAATAGTCTAACGCAGTTGATTATAGGTATGAAAATTTCTAATGCCCGTGATGGTCTGAGCAGGGATTCTGCCTTCCCAGTGCTGCTCCCTTTCCATAGTCCTGGTTTGCTGGATTTCTCCAAATTTCTGTTTCTATTCTGTATGGGAAGCAAATTTTGTTTGGACATCCTATACTAAAAAGGAGATGTGACCTACTAAGCCAGTAAGCGGTTTTCTTTGCTTTTGTAATAAAGATTAAAAGAAGAAAAGACTTTGTGTCCCCTGCAGCCTCTGCCCACAGGACAGCTCTGCCCTCTGTGGAGGGGAGCTGCCAAGAACAAAGCTGATGTCTTGTGGCTTGCTCTTTTCAAAGTACTTGATTGAAAGGACTGTGTTTGAGGGCAGAATTGCAACCCTGGTATACACGTTCCTTTAGAGTGGAATCTGCAGACAGTAGGTAGTTTTATGTACTAAAATATATATAAAAGAAAAGAGGTCTCAGCTTCATGCAGCAGCTTTTTGGGCACTGATCAGCCTAGTATCGTTGTTTAGAGTAAGCAGGGCTGTACTGTAAAAATAATGAGTGTTGCATTTATATGACCTACAATTGATTGCCACTTTGCAAAACTCTCATGCTTCCTAGCACATTGGTGTGGATATATGAGGGGATGTCCAATAGCTATGATCCCATAGCCGGAAGAAAGCCTGTAAAGTTGTTGGGATGTGGGGGTGGAGAGGCTTTATGCTCACTGGATAGCTTATTTCCAGATTTTTAAATGGTTCATTTATCATGTGCAGACTTGGTGAGCAGCTGAACGCAAGCTGACTTCTGATTGTTACGATGAGTGATGTTTGTTATTTTGGGTTAGACTTGTAAAACATGGATCAGATCTT